CCACTGGTTTGGTGCAGCAGTTCATTTCCTTTAATAGATACAGAGTCGCGCGGCGGTGGGGGGAGTGCCGGGGGGAGCCTGGCAGCACCGAGTCCCGGCCACCCGCGCTGAGGTAGAGGTGAGCGTTGCTCCACGCTCGCCTGCTTTGGCACCCAGGGGTGCAAGCGGGTGGAGGAGGCGCCCGCCCAGCCCCAACGAGGTAGTTCGGAGTGCCCTCCATCTCCCTGCCCTCCAGCTGGGGACCCCGGCGTCCAGGTGGTCTTTGGTGGTGGGGGACACTGCTGGGCCTCCCTGCCCTGCCCCCCGCAAAAACCTCCTCCCAGTGCACAAGCCCCACCCTGTTATTAAGCCCCATCCCCATCCCAATCCCCATAAACTCCACTCCCACCTAACAACTGGTCACATCTCACCCCCACCAGTCCCACCAGTTTCCCCAGTATCTGACCCCCAGGGTGACCTCCAAGCTGAGGATCTGGGGGCCTGAGGTGCTACCACCCTGGCTTGGCCAGGATGCACCCAGGACCCTGAGGGTGTCTCAGCAGGGGCAGCAAGTCCAGGCAGCTCAGGAGGACTGCACAGGGGGGTCTGCAGTGGGTAGGGGGTGCAGTATATACGCAGTGTATAGGGACTGCAGTGTTTGCACTGAGGGTGTGCACAGGTGAAGCAATGTGGGTACCAAGGGTGTGCGTCGGCGATGCAGCGTACGCATTGAGTGTGTATAAGGGATGTGGTGTGCACACACGTGTATAGGGGAGACAGTACATAAAGGATGCAGCGTGTGCACTGAGTGTGGCAACACAGAGGATGCAGTGTATGCAATGAAGTGTGTATAGGGGCTGCAGTGAGGGCACTGAGGTGTGTATAGGGGCTACAGTGTGTAGGAGATGCAGCATGCAGGGCCCAGGGGTACCTCAGGCAGTAGGGCAGGCAGGAGCTGTATAAGGGGGGGACAGGACCTGGGGGCAGTGCCTGGGAAGGAAGGTGTGCGTGTCAGAGGGCACGCATGGGGAAGGGGTCCCACGTGCAGGGATAAGGGACAAAAGAGCCCACGTGGGTGCTCACGGCCTTGCATGGACACAGCTCAGTATTGCAGGAAGAGGCACCTTTGGGTCCCTCATCCCACCCTGGTAGCCCAGGTGGGTCCCACAGCTCAGCCCTCCAGGCTCTGGGGACACCAAGCTACTTTCAGAGCGGGGGGGGCATCTCCCCTACGGTGAGGTGCTGGTGGGAGTGTGGCTGTGCGAGGTGGCTGGGAGCAGTGGGTTCGGGGCAGGCATGGGGTTCGGCCGGCTCTGGGTGCTCCCTCCACCAGGTGCTGGGGGGGCTTGAGGCCGGCGGGCGAACAGGACGCCTGGGGAGCAAGAGCAAGGGAGTTAGGGCAAACCCAGGGTTGGGGGCTCCGCTCGCCTGACTGCCAGCACCCATGCTGGGGAGGGTGAGACCAGCACCCCTGGGGGCTCCAGCCCTCCCATCATTTTTTGCGCCTCCCCCGGCCCAGTTGCCTTCATCCGTGTGGGGCAGCCAGTGGGGTGGCCCAGGACCATTTGGCTGGCAGCCCCACATGCTGATTAGCCTGGGCCTTTCCAGCTCGTTAAATATTTAAGTCCTGAAGGAAAAGCCATCTATTTTAATTGGGAGTGTCTCAGCAGGGCAGGCAGGGAGCTGAGGGGCACGGGATTAACTGCTTAGCCAGGTAGGGGCACATCGGCACCCCAAAGAAGCCTCTGCTCTAGCAAAGCACCCCAACATCTTCCCCTGCACCCAACACCGGGCTCTGCAACCGGCCAACCCCTGCTTCCAGCCAGAGACCCTCTAGGCACACCAGCATCAGGTGATCCAAGCCCTGCCCACAGGAGCCCCTGGTGGGGGATGACCCCAGGTGCCTTTTCACACTTCTGAGCCTGAGTC